AAGTAAAACCTAAAAATAAAGCAAAAACAAAAAAAATCACCCATACTCTAAAAAAAAAAAAATCTAACCAATCAAACCAGCAAATAATACCAACAAAACCAAAAATAAACAAAAGGGGTTTTTAGTCTAAAACAGATAGAATTTACTTCCTGAATTAAGTGTAGAATTTTAAAAGGAATTCTGGCCCTGAAATGGAGAAGGGATACCACTAGGTTCTGCAGTTGGCTTATTAGGTAGTTAAATGGTAAATTTTACGTTTAACTTCGTAAGAACGGGGTTTAAATTTTCCTAACCTTCATCCTGAGGGCCAAGGTTGTTTGGCAAGAATGGATGGTAGAATGCAGTTTCTAGAGTAAGGCTGAGATCCTTTTCTTTTCTCTCCTATAGACTACATTTGGTCAATTTTGTGGAACCTGTGGGCCTCAATTACTCCATGTTTATTCCTACCTTGTTGAATCAGGGCACCACTGCTCAGCAAGAGAAATGGCTGCTTTCATCCAAAGGACTCCAGATAATTGGCACCTATGCCCAGACGGAAATGGGCCACGGTTAGTCCACATCTGAGGGTCCGTGGGTAACCCACCTCAGGACTTCAGTTAACAGTGACCATTGGCATTTGATTTTTTTTCTGCTGCTGCGTATTTGGGATTTTATTTTTAAATTATTAAATCAAAATTCAGCTTCTTGTCTTCTGGGGGCATTTCCCTGTAAACTGGTCCAGGGCTCTGGCCTGTAAACATCATTCAGTGTTATTACTTAAAGCCTTTTATCATTGCTACATATACCCCTTTTTAATGGCTGCTGAGCAGTTAGGAAAGATGGGGATTAAAGTACAACAAAGCCCCCATTATGTTGGTCTAATTATTAAAGACTTTGTTGGAAATTCTTCAGAGGTTCAGTGCCTCAGCAATATCTGAAAGATGCCTCTCTGCTTTAATGAAGTTAAGGTGTGGGTTTTAGGGGGCAGAGGGTGATGGCAGCTGCATGTCATACTCTTTCATTGTCTACTAGCAGGACTGTAAGGCAGTTTGGAAAAAATCCCATGATGCTGTTCATCTGACTCCAGCAGTCTTTTCATACATTCTTCCCATACATGTCTGTGGACACTCTTCATTGCCAATAGTTCTTGGTAAAGGAGTTCGTGAATATCTGGTGACTTTCAAAAAGTTTTGCTTTTGGTCTTACTGTGAAATAAGTGTGTTTTTGTGGACAAAGCCATTGGCAGGTTTGAGTGTTTTGAATTTGAGCTGCCCAGCCTTATATCTAATTATCAAGGTGGAGGCAGTAAATAAAGGGAAAGAGAAGGGATGCAGGAATCATGAAAATTTCATTTTGTATTTGGTTTGCTGCATTTTCACTTGTGAATTGGTTTAAGGAGAATGTTCTTTATCATCTCCATGGGAACTGTAGATTCTGGTCATGGTCTGACATTACAGAGACCTCACTAAATAAACACTCAAGACTAGCTTCAGGATGGCCAATACTGAGATTACAAGCCTGAGGAAAGGTTTCCTAAGGGAAGAAAGATAACATTTTTTATGCATATTGTTCTTTGTTGACTGCTTTTCCGTGGAAGTCAATCCATTTGTAGGTCAATTTGTGTCATGTGACAGCATTGCCTTACATACATAAAAAGTCCTTCAATGTCAAGGAGGTTGGCAAAAGAGCAGCTTGTTCAGAATGAAATCTAATTATTTAAATTCTGAAACTTTTGGAAATTGGCGAACAATGATTATCTAAAATGTTCTCACAGAATTGGCTGTAGCCAGCTTGAGACTTTTTCTCTTCTTTTCGGTGGCTGGCTGGTGTGGGGATCTGAACCTGTGGCCTTGGTGTTACGAGGGTGTTCTCTAACCAACTGAGCTAACTGGCTAGCTCCAAGTTTGAGACTCTTTCATGTCTAGGTAGCCCCTGAGAAATGAAGAGACTCTTGTTCAGGCTCATTCCATGTTCCTTCAGAATCTTAAATTTCAATCACCTGCACAAAGTGTCGGTCATCAGTCTTATCTTTTCCCTTGTCTAAAGACGTGAAGAAATCCCAGCACACACCTGCTCTGTGGTTCTGTGAGTCTTCAAGGCAGAGGCCTGAGCTGAGGAGGGCTTCCCTCCCCAGGGTTCTGGGGTTGAAGGAACAGCCTGTGGAACTCGGTCCAGCGTTATTATCCTGACCACACATTTCTTGAGGTCACAAAGCAGGTATTATGTTTGCTCTTCACACATATTTGATCATTTTAAGATGTGGCCACTTCATAGGGATTCTTCTTGCCTTGTTTTCTATTATTAAGTATTTAGGAATATAGAGTTTATACAATACATAGCTGTTGTCCTTGAAGATGGTATAGTATCCTCGCACATTCCCATCATTAATTCTTAAATATGAAATAAAGCACCTTTCCTCCTTTGAAACTTGAAGACAGGCAGTAAGCTTGATTTTGTAAATCATTGTCTTTCTCTCCCTGCATCTTCCCCACCCTCTTTCCCCATGCGAGCTAGTCTCCTCTTTTCCCAAGTGATTCTCTTCCTTGTCAGGGGACTTCCCATGAAACATGTTTCGTGGACTTCCCATGAAACTTGTTCCGCCGGGCATTTGGACTGTCCTAATTTCTCTACTATTATTGATGATAATATAAACTTCTATAAACCTCTTTATGAAAACTATTCTTTGGGGCTATATCTTTGGAATATCTTTCTCAGAAATGAATTACTACATTGAAGGGAATGAACATTTCATAGTTTTTGTTGCACAGTTTGAGACTTCCTGAAACAGAACAAGTTTACAATATATTTAGCAACTTCTCTACCTGTATCTCCATAGCCCCGTCAACATGGTCACTTTATTTTTGCTACTTTAACGTATATCTAAGAGTTAAAGTTTTAATTTTCCATTGCTAGTGAAGCTGGATGTTGTTATATGTCTTGATTTAAAGTTTACATTTCTTATGTAATTTGAGTGCTGATTAAATAGGATCTTCATATTGATCTTATGTGATAATATTTTATGTTTAATATTTTTTCCATTACCTTCTGTTTTATTAAATGTTTTGGCCTTGTGTATTCAATGCATCCTTCCCTGAGTTGGCATAAATTTTCTCTCACCAATAATTATCTTCTGTTTTCTTACAATATTTTTGTTTGATTTATGTTTAATGCTTTAATTTGCATATGGAGTGAGAATGAATCCCAAATGATTTTCTAGATTTTTAATGATTATTAACCACTGGTTCTTTTCCTATTGTTACATTCTTTCTGTTTTGTCTTAGAGTTTTATAATAGTTTAAATTTATTTCTGGAACCTTAAATGTATTACCTCAATATGTTTGTTTCTTTGTTTTTCTTCTAAATATCATAAATTTTGGCTCAATTTTGCTTTGTAAAATATTTTAATATCTGATAAGATAAGCCTATTGTCACATTTCAAGATACATGTATTTATATCATATGTATTTGGTATTCTTGCCTACTTATTCTTATAGATAAATTCTGATCTCAGTTTGTCAAGTTCTAAAAAATATCCTACAGGAATTTTAAGTCTGCCTTGTATTTTCCTGGGAAGTGTTACCTTTATTTAGTCCTCTCAGCCAAGAATTACCTCTTTCTTTCCTGTTATTCATATCTTCTTTTATTCATGCTGTTAGGTACTTATATTTTTTCTTTTCTTTTTTTTTTTTTCCTTTTTGTCTTTTTTACTGACCGGTAACGGGATCGCAACCCTCGGTGTCGCGCCTGTACCAGGGACTGGCAACGGGATCGCAACCCTCGGTGCTGCGCCCGCGCGCTCAGCCAGTGAGCGGGAACCGGTCTCCACATGGGATCCGAACCCTCGGCTGGGGAGCCGCCGCGCTCCGAAGCGGCACACTCTCCAGTGTGCCACCGGGCCGGCCCAGTACTTATATTTTTTCTTAAATAAATCTTTAATATCCTGAGCTAAGTTACTTAACAAATTTTAAATATTTTGTTACTTTTATAAATTATATTTCTCTTTACTGAGCTTTCTGTTTGAATGATCCTAATAGATCAGAATGCAGTGGATTCCCTCACCCACCCAACCCCTTAATAGCCTGCAGCTTATTTCATTTATTTGCTGGTACTTAGTCATTGCTGTTGATTTCCTAGGATTATAATCATGCTTTCCACAGAGCTATTTTTATTTTTTCCTTTCTCATATATTATTAATATAATCATTTTTCCTCAGTATTTGATTGCCAGCCTTTCCAGGCTTGTATCATGTGGAAGGAGAGACTGGGGAGGCCTTTTGATGTTATGATTGTAAAAGAACTGACTCTAGTGCTTCACCAAGTATAATGTTGGTGCTTTGTAATTTTATAATAAATTATTTGAAAAATAATACATAATGTTTATCATGCATAACCAACTTTTTACAACAAATACTTAGTTAAGTCAAAAAACTATCCAGATCACTTTCTCCTTGTAACATTTTAAAATTCCATCCACTTCTGAATAATCCATGTATTAGTCACAAGAGACATTTTTCTCCTGAAAACATTCTTTAGTCTCAAAACAGTTTCTGATTGTGGTGGTTTTACGCCGTGCCCCCTACAGTTGTTTTTTTGTTTTTTTGTGGGGTTTTTTTTGCCAGCTGGCTGGCTGGTACAGGATCGAACCCTTGACCTTGGTGTTGTCAGCACCACGCTCTCCCAAGTGAGCTAACTGGCAAGTCTTTCTAAGTGTATTTTGTGGTAATCCTTAGCACGTGTTATTACTCCATGATAAACCACGCAGATACTTCCGTGAGTCTGATGGAGTGCTCTGTAGTGGCCTTTCCTTCACCAGGAGTTGCTCTGATTTCTAGTAATGCAAAATAGCCTTCTATGAAAGTGCTAAAAAATGGCTGGTCTCAGGTTTCATTACTAGCTCAAAAGAGTTTTCTCTTTTCAGGTCCTAGGTGTACATCGATTTTTCTTCTAGACACTCATTTTAAAAACTGGGGACACTTGACATTTCTCTTTGTGAGTGAAAGGCACTCCTTGTTTCGCCATTATCTTTTTTACCTGAACAAAGCCCTTAACCCATCTCAGCCTTAATTTCTTCTCTGTAAAATGAGGGATTCAGTCACACATTCTTTGATTTTTATGTGACTGGTTAACTGAAAGCACAGACACTTGATTGGAAGAAGTCCTTGATCAGCCCATGCCTGAGCAGTGTGCCCTGGTTATTTTCCTCCTTACCTTATATGGAACAAACAGATATTTAAAAACCAAAATGTTGGGCCAGCCTGGTGGCGCACTGGAGAGTGCGCCTCCTGGGAGTGCGGCGGCGCTCCCGCCGAGGGTTCGGATACCATGTGGAGACCGGTTCCCGCTCACTGGTTGAGCGCAGTGCGGGCGTGACACTGAGGGTTGCAATCCCATTGCCGGTCAGTAAAAAAGACAAAAAGGAAAAAATAAAAAATAAAAACCAAAGGGCCGGCCCGGTGGCGCACTGGATAGTGCGCCGCTTGGGAAGTGCGGTGGCGCTCCCGCCCGAGGGTTCGGATCCCACATACAGACCGGTTCCCACTCTCACTGGCTGAGCGAGGCACGGGAGCGACGCCGAGGGTTGCAATCCCGTTGCCGGTCCCCGGTCCGGTACGGGGGCAACACTGAGGGTTGCGATCCGTTGCCGGACACGGAAAAAATAAATAAAGAAATAAATAAATAAAATAAAAACCAAAATGTTGTTTAGGCTCATTTCTAAGATAATTAAATAGAATATTAAGAGCAATATAGAGTTGATTAATTTGGAGCTAGAAGTCAAACACAATGCCAGTTATGTGGAGAAATACAATGACATATAGGATTTTCTATCCTTAGAAATAAACTCCCACAGGGCTGGCTGGTTAGCTCAGTTGGTTAGAGTGCCACGCAGGTAACACCAAGGTCAAGGGTTTGGATCCCCATGCTGGCCAACTGCCACCCCCTCCCACCCCCCGAAAAAAAAAAAATTCATGCAGAAGTCTGAAGTTACCTGCAGATTTTAAGTGGAAAAGAATGACCCCACAAAGCAGGTTTAAAATGACTAAAATCAAGATGTTTATTATTAGTGGTAATTCCTGTATAATTGAAATGGAGAGCTTGTTATGCATGAGTCTGTAACTTGTAATTGTTATGATCTTCACTAGAAATTGCATGTCTTTTTTTATTTCTGAAATAAGTTATTGGGATGAAGAGCACTGTCGGTTTTTGTTAAATTGTTTCAGTAGAGCATGGCTGAATATCTGATGTAATCAATCTGAATGAAATGATCAGAGTTATGTAAGGAATGTGGATTGATGTTAGATGTTTAGTGGAAAACAGAAAATTTTTTTTGTTGAAATTTTTATTGAAATTGTACCTAGAAAACACTTTAGTCTGGGGGATCATATTGTCACTCAGAGAACCGTGTTCTCCTGTCTCCCCTTCTTGTCAGAATGAATCGTTGTACCACTTAAATTCTCCATTCTATACAACCTTTTCAGGGCCGGCCCGTGGCTCACTCGGGAGAGTGCGGTGCTGATAACACCAAGGCCATGGGTTCCGATCCCTATATAGGGATGCCGGGTTAGCTCACTTGGGAGAGTGTGGTGCTGACAACACCAAGTCAAGGGTTAAGACCCCCTAATCGGTCAGCTTTAAAAAATACACACAACACACACACACACACACACACACACACACACACCCTTTTCAAATTTTTTATTTCCTTTAATTGCTAGGCTGGAATCCTTTGCCTTGTACATGTGGTTTTGTGTACCTAGGTTTGGAATCAGTAGCCAATCCTTGCCATATTCCTTACCAACTTAAGAAAAATGGAAATTGCCAAGGGTTGTAAAGTATACACAGGAAGACATGGTGCTCCCAACCATGATAAAGTGAATGCAACTAATTTATACTTACAGAAGGTTTTGTTTTCTCCTTCCTTGCTCTCTTTTCAAATTACTGATTCTCTCACACCTGATGACTCTTCTCTCAAATGCCTGTCCTTGGTATTTCTTCAAAGCTTTGTGCACCGAGGGCGGCCTGAGCCTCTGGACCTTCACTTGGGCATGTTCCTGCCCACCTTGCTTCACCAGGCAACCACAGAGCAACAGGAGCGCTTCTTCGTGCCCGCCTGGAACTTGGAGATCATTGGCACTTATGCCCAGACAGAGATGGGTCATGGTACGGTGTATTCAGTCTACCTTCTGGGTTGGGCGGGCCCCTATGAGCTTAACATGCACGGAGTGCCTGCCATGTGCTAATGATGGCATGTCTTGTACTATGATCTGTTTAAATGACCTCTTTCTTCAGAGTCCAGGTTTTGGCGTGGACATTGCTTTGGTCAGTGGAAATTAAAATTATGTTATCATAGTGATTTGCTGATTGATTTTTTTCACGGTTCCCATTTAGAAAGTCAAGAATTACAAGCCAGGCTTTATTTACCAAGTTGTTTTTCAAGTTCACAGAGATTGCATAGAATCTGTGTGCATATAGAATCTGAATTCATCCTTTTTCCTTTGTTACTATTTGATTACCTTTACAACTGATACTTTAATGAACTTTTACAAATTCCAGAAGAAATACAGATTAGTAGTGTGTGTGCTTTTTGACTTGCTGAAGGGAAATGAGTAGCTTATTATAACCAAGATGTGCAACATTTTGTGCCTTGAAGTTATTCGCACCTTGATTCAGTAAATCCAGCAAAGTTCTGAAGGTGGCTTGGCCAGAGGTTAGAAGAATAAGATATGCCATACTTTCAGGCAGTCGGTTTCAAACTCTCTATTTACCACCTTTTTTCCTTTCCATCCCTCTACCTACTTTTCTTCATGAACCTAGGTGGTTAGCTCTTCTCTTACCATCTGTTCTGAATTGGTGTCTGCATTTGCCATTCATTTGCTTCTGGCTTCTTTTTTTCTGCTCTCAGGTTTCAGAAAACTTGGTCTAGTATATATTTGCCACTTGTTCCTTGTTTCTGTATGACTGCTTCTTCTTATTCGGTGCTGAGTAGTAGTTTACAGGATTTTCACAAGACTCAAAGTGGAATCCTGTTTGGTTCAATTGTGCTTTTGAAAATGTTTTGTCCTTATCTGTTCTGTTTAATATGTTATCCTTTTTTTCTGTAAAACCTTACTCTTTGGTGAAAGGAGTCTAAGTATCTGGTTTCTTGATTCTTACTTGGGAAGGTTGTGGATTGCACATAAATTGCTCATCTCTGTTATTCAGCTTGGAAGTTCCTAAATGTTTCAAAGTGTAAGTGTTTAATGAAGTCTAGCATTATCAAAGCAGTTTGGTAAAAGGTTCCAGCATTTGCTTCAGTGTAGTATTGTTATAGAGAGTGCCACCTAGAATGTTTTTCTATAACTTTTTTCAAAGAGTTTTGGCATTTTTGTATTAGGATTTAAAAAGTACCCGTACGTGTCCAATAAGCATATGAAACCAGGAACTCTCCTTCGTCATACTAATGAACCAGCTAGGACTAAGTTAAGGCCTGACACTGGAAACCCATAGGGTGAATTCAAACCTTATTACTGGACCTTTAGGAACTTTAAAAAGTTACTGTTCCAGGTCTTTTTGTCCATAATGATTATAGCTTTCTAAGCTCTTATTTTCCATTCTAGCAGTCATTCTGAAATGAATTCTCAATATACAAGAACGTTAGCTGAAATCTCTTCCTATCACGTTATCTTATTCTCAGTAGTGCAAAATTCCAGAATGTTGAATTGATGTGGTAAACATAATACATATGAGTTGAAATTGGCATATTTGCAACTTAGAAATGGGTTTAAAAGGACAGTTAACTTCCCTGTTAAATTCGTATATTATGATCTTATAAAAATATGATTCTAAGCTGCCTTTATATTTTGTTTTGGTTGATTTAAATAAATGCTACAAGTCCACTAAATCAAATATGGAAATGGAACATGCATGAAATTTATATTTTCAGCCTAGCGGGAAACTATCTGATAGTATAGAAAATTTTAAGTATGAGGGTACTGCAAAAAGTTCATGGAAAAATAGAAATTTTTTTTTGGTGGCTACCCGATACAGGGATCTGAACCCTGACCTTGGTGTTGTCAGCACCATGCTCTAACCAAGGAAGCTAAGTAGGCAGCCCAAAAAACAAAGTTAAAAAATAATATGAATCTTTCCATGAACTTTTTTTTTTTTTTTTTTTTTTTTTTTTTTTTTTTTTTTTTTTTTT